TGAGAGGCGGTGAAAGACAAATGTCAATCACGATTAGCTTTTGAATCGGTTTTGACCTTAGGGACGGAAAAGCTGCCGGGCAGTATAAAACAAATCATCCGAGCTAAATAATCGACTAAAATAAACGGCCTATGCTCTTCAAAAGCTCGCTTTCACACATGGTCAAGCCTGAAGACGGGCTTCGCAAAGAAACGAAAGTGAACTGGCCCGATATCGGGCTTCACTTTCTAATAAATGTTTGTCCAATTATTTCTTAATAACCTGGATTATATTGGTTTCGCTTTTTTTTCAAATAGCTTATTGGAAGCTGTGAGGAAAGTAGGTGGGAGCCGTTTTGAACAGCAGTCTCCTCGCCTTGATCCTTCCTTGAACTTTCAAGGGTGACGGAACTAGGCAAGGCTTTTGCGGAGGCGGTTTTGAAAAATAAATTATAATGGACCATTTCGAATGTGACAGTGGTTTATAATTCAATCCGTAGACCGTTGACAACTTGATATTAAGAAGGATAAGGAATTATTCAAATGTACAACAAGGCGTCTTACGTTGCAACTGACATCATTGGCCATAAAACTTTTACAACATTTTTCTTGATGTGAAGCATAAAACCAATACTTAGCAAATAGAAAATTAAAATATTTTAACATCTAATATCTTTTCGAAACTGTTTCCCCTTTTTTTAACATCTAATTCCTCAATTTAGTGATACTTGTCATCATTCATCACTGATCAGTTTTGTCTGAGGTAGAAACATAAATAAAATACTACACACACCAAACAAATCATACTCATTAGTTTTTCTATTATTCTCTGATACACATGGTACGTTTAAAAAAAAAATACAATATATATAATGAGAAACTTGGTACGAGATTTTTTTTACCAAATACTGACCTTTCCACTGTTTTTTTCTATTATAAATTGAGTGAAATGTTTATTATTAATTTGTTAATTAGACAGTTTTGACAGAAAAAAGGAGAAATCGACTTTCGGAGAAAAGACAAGCTAAGAAAAAGTATACTTTGTTTTAGTATTACCTATTTTTTGCAGAAAAAAGAAGAGAAAATTTCAATTATGTTGATTTATTCAACAACAAATTCGATAACAGATCAACTATCTTAGCCACGCCCACTTTGACGTCATTCCACAAAAGACCAACCAGATTAGCCACTCCCCCTTTGACGTCATTTAACAATAGACAGTTTTTACACTCAAAAAACCGGAAGAAATTAACACTCAATACAAAAATTAAGGCAAGAAAGGCCTTTACATTGGAGATTCTTGTGTTTTTCAGAAAAAAAATTAAAGAAAAATCATAATTATTGTATCATCGATTAATTTTGGTTCTACAATTACAATATATCAACAGGTATAAAAACGCCCAATTTCGTGTCATTTCACAATAGATCAACCAGCTTAGGCCCCTCACTTTGAGATATTTTAGTTATAAATCAACAAACTTAGTCACGCCCACTTTGTCGTTACTTGACAGTAGATGACCAAGCATAGACACGCCCATTTTGATGTCATTCCACGATAGATCAACCAGCTTAGCCACCCTCACTTTTACGTATTTTGTCAATAAATCAACATATTAGCCACGCCCTCTTTGACGTTATTTGACAATAGATCAATCAACTTAGCCACGCTTACTTAGAAGTTGTTCGACAATAGATCAACAGCTTAGCCACGCCCAATTTTACTTCATTTGACAATAGATAAATCGATTTAGCCACGCTTACTTGAAAGTTGTTCGACAATGGATCAAACAGCTTAGCCACCCTCACTTTGACGTATTTTTTCAATAAATCAATAAGCTTAGCCACGCCCTCCTTGACGTTACTTGACAGTAGATCAAACGGCATAGACACGCCCACTTTGACGTATTTTGTCAATAAATCAACAAACTTAGCCACGCCCAATTTTACGTCATTTGACAATAGATTAATCAACTTAGTCACGCCCACTGTAACAAAAACGAGCATAAAAACCCCTGGAGAAATTAACTCATTGTACAGATAGGTAAAGTTGCCATGAAAAACAATATGAAAAGAGTCTGAAAAGGCAAATTTATGTCATTTGACAACAGATTAACCGGTTTAACCAAGCTCACTTTGACGTCATTTACAAAAAAAATCAATCGACTTAGCCACGCCCCCTTCAACTGTGTTTATATTGTGTATTTTTCAAATTGACAAAAAATGTTTCTCTTAATTTCAATTGTTTAAGATTCTTTTCTTAGCTTATTTTTTCTAGAAGAGTTCTTCTGTTTTTCTAGCAAAACCGAAATAAACAACGAACATTTTAATCAATTGAGAATACGTTGAAACTAAAACACAAAATAGTGTGAAAGTCAGGTTTTTGTTTTAAAAAATCGAATACTATGTTTCTCTTTATATCTGTTGGACTGTTTTTGTAATAAGTACACTGTACATCTGATGGCAATAAAAAGATACTGTTCGATGTTTTTACATGATTGTATGTAACCATAGTTATACTGGCTCTGTCTCGAATTGCCAATTAATCGAAACAGCGACAGACTCGAGAGAAAGAGACCCAGCCTCGGGCTTTGGGTCAGCAGGGAAAGCTGCTGAGTTAATAAAAATTACATATCTTTTCTTTGCTCACGGTTTCTCTAATCCAAATCGCTCATAGGAATTATTTCCCGTGTCGGTAGTCGGGTCGGGGGGGAGGGGGCTTTCTTCTTTTGAAACTTTCCCGAAACTTCTAAGTCTCCTTACCGTCTTTTGTTAAAGTTCAAGAAAAACGATTAATTGGTGCGAAGGATAGAAGGGATTCACTTTCACTGTACATGTAATTCGTCGGAGGAAAGGCGTGACGGAGGATTTAAAATTGGCGAGAAGGTCCAGAGTGAAGGGGTCGAACGTCGTGAACCCACGGACCATCGATAGGAGGAAAAAATCAACAGAAAGGCCCGATAAGCATCCCGACAAATTTTCTTTCTAAAATATACTAGACCTCGCGAAACCGAACGGGCACCGGATAATTTAAACGCAGAACGATTTCCATTTCTGAAAGTGGTAGGCAAGACAAATCCGACAATTACGGATCGTTAAGCGTAATTACAGACGATTCATCCACTCTCATGCACGTAAACATGTAAATAAGAAAAGAAGTACAATACAGTAAGTTGAAATGTGAATAATCGGTTGCGTAATCCCTATCATCCTACTCACTCATTATCTATTTTAATTCTTCAATATAGCCTCTTCCCTCGGATAAAAACAGCATTGCTTGGTTGTCTTTCTTGATTCAAAACAGGCCTTCGATCGAGTCTGACACTTGCTTTGGAAACTGAAGAACATCCTTCTTCATACTGTCTTACACTGAGATCTTATCTGACGGACCGATTTTGCCCTCAGGGAAGTGAATGCTCACCCTATTAGGGCGGTGTTCCTCAGGGAAGCATACTTGGTCCATGTCTATTTCCAATATACTGCAGATATTCTTACAGCAGATCTGATACATTCTTACACGTAATTCGGGCCCCTCAATTAACACTCAACTCTTACAACAACCTGAATGAATTAACAGTATGGTTCACAAAGTGGAGAATAAAGATAAATCTAACGAAAAGCGTACAGATAAATCTAACGAAAAGCGTACAGATAAATCTAACGAAAAGCGTACAGATAAATTTTACGTTTAAAAACATCTGTACTGTAGTGAGTATAATGGAATGCCATTGCCTACCACTGATCTCGTGCGTCATCTTGGACTTTTCATGAATAAACGATTGACTTGGATCCCACAGAAGGCTGAAGTCAGCAAACAAACCGACGTTTTAAATTATTAAAAATACTACTTGACTCACGTTCAAAATTAGACGTTGAAAACCAACTTTTAATTTACAAAACATTTAGACCTCTCTGCGCATATGGTTGTGAAGTGTGGGGCTCAACCAAGGATTCCAATTCCCAATGTCTACAATCAATCCAATCTAAAAAAATTTCGTCAATCACTGAACACACACAATTATCTTTTAGTACGGCATTTATCACTTCCAACCCTACCTGAAAATCCCCCAGGACGTTTAAAGCGAAAGTGACCCCGAGACCTTCTCATTGAGTGAAGACTAAACAGGATCAGTGTGAAGAAGTGTTACCACTGGGCAACATCTCCTACAAGAGCCTCAAATGATAAATTCAACATATTTGACAACTAATTAAGGTTTTTAGTTGAGATAAAAAAGTCAATGGCACGAGCGGGATTCGAATCCACGATCTTCGGCTTGATACGCCGCTGCTCTACCACTTGAGCTATCGTGACCTCGATCCACTCGGACACCAACTTCCCATCTCAACCGCACCTTTTGAATTTTCCCTCCTTTATGCCATTTTTCAATTTTTCCTTTTTTATCTCAACTAAAAACCTTAATTAATTGTAATAAATTAATTGGTCAAGCGGAACACGAAATTAGTGAATTTAATGATTGAAAATGAAGTACACTTCACTAAAGATCTCCGTGGCCATTTCATTTGTCGCCGAGAATCAAATGGATTACACGACATTTGAAAAATGACAAAAAGGAGGGAAAATTCGAAAGATGGGGTTGAGATGGGAAGTTGGTGTCCGAGTGGATCGAAGTCACGATAGCTCAAGTGGTAGAGCAGCGGCGTATCTAGCCGAAGGTCGTGGGTTCGAATACCGCTTGTGACAGTGACTTTTTGTCTCATCCAAAACCTTAATTATTGAGCAAGCGTAATGTTGTGTCATATTGNTGGGAAGTTGGTGTCCGAGTGGATCGAAGTCACGATAGCTCAAGTGGTAGAGCAGCGGCGTATCTAGCCGAAGGTCGTGGGTTCGAATCCCGCTCGTAACGCTAACTTTTTTTCAACCAATACCTTACATAAAGATTAAATAATTGATAAAAGATAATGAAAAAAATCTTTAATAAACTGAACCTTTTAGACATAAATTTTTAATATCTGTTGTACTCCTAGGTTTCTGCATTGTTAACAGTTTTCCTTTGGTTGTTGCAGGATGGAGGAACTGGAGTTTGGCCGAAATATGGCACCTTGACGGAGGGAAGCGCACTCTCCAAGAGCATGAAGTACGCGGAGAGCTGGTTGTACGGGACGGTGTCGGAGAGGCCGAGGGAGCCCAGGGCGGACGCCGCGTCGCTCTTCGCCACGGTTAGACTGAGTAACAGATCGCGCCCGAGGCTCCCGGACGACCCATACGACCTGGTGAGGAGGTCCAGGCTGGGACGGGCCAAGTCGTCCTCTCCCCCGGCCCGCAGGTCCATCCTCGACTGCCGGCTCAACCCCTACGAGCTTATGGACCGGCGGGTCACGGTCGCCGGACAGTCGGTCGTCTTCGGGGGCGTCTCGGACGACGGATGGTCCGACACGGAGACCCTCATCCCGAGGGCGTCCGCGGCGCCGAGGCGTCCTCCGAGGAAGCGAGAGCCCGAGCCGCCCAAGTCCATCCTCAAGAAGCCGGAAAGATCGCCGAGGAGCCTCAAACCCCAGAGGTCGTCCTTCCGCGAATACAAGACCAAGAAGAAGAAGCAGGTCCAATTCAGGGACCCAGAGAAGAAGGACGTGAAAGAAGACTGGCAGGCAGACACACAGCAGCAGACCGGACCGCCTCAGACCAAAACTGAACAAGTTACCTACCAAGACAACTCGGACTCTGGTAATTAATTAATACCTACATCGAATTAATGAGACGTTTTAAAAGATCATTACTCATCTCATAATCTCATACCCACTTCCTCTCAAAGATCATTAATCAAGTCGTCTAACTGAACTACTTTCGCTTTTTCCTTAGCTAAAAAGTCCAACGACGTCTTGTAAACATCTCCAGCCATGAAACGACATGATTTGTGACTGAACCACTTTAACACATGCAAATACTTGGAGCCTTGGTAGAATTGATGGAAACAGGGTAGCAGATTTATGGTCAAAATTGGGTTTTAATTGAGCACAGTGTCATGTATAAAGGTGGTGACTGCACGAATTCTTCTGATTTAGAATTTTTATATCCTGATATCTCCCCAAACATAATACAATTATTTGCATAACATTCTTCTGTAATACCAAATTTTAGTCAAAATCGGTAGAAGGAAACCTATATAAAAAAAGGTATTTTCTTCTTTTTGTTGAGCAGTTAGAATTTATTCCCCCATATCTAACCAACAGTTCACCTGAATTTTCTTAAACCCTGCATAATTATTTTACAATTGTACCCCGTATAACGCCTGCTTTTTCTCATAATCGGTAGAAGGCATTCCATAAAAAAGGGGGTTAAGCTGAATTTCTTCCGTTAATCGAGCAATCATAAAAATTTCCCCTGGTATCTCGCGTACATTTTCACCGAATTTATCGGAATACAGCCTAATTATTTATCAACTCTACCCTGATATAATGTCTAGTTTTTACCAAAATCAATAGAAGGCAATCCATTAAAGAGGGGTTTATGTGGACATTTGTCTTTTAGGAGTTTTAAAACGAGAACTTTTATTCACTGTTATCTCGCGAACTGTTCAGTCAAATTTAAAGAAAGTTGACACAGTTATTTACTAATTATATTCTGCTATAACACCAAGTTTTGGCCAAAATCGGTGAAAGGAAATTTATATTAAAAAAAAAGGTATTTACTTCTTTTTGTGGGGAAGTTAGATTTTTTTTTTTAAGGAGAGTTAGAATTTATTCCCCGATATCTGACCAAACGTTTACCTGGATTTGCTGAAATTCTACATAATTATTTCACAATTTTATCATTGTATAACACCTAGCTGTTATCATAATCGACAGAAGGCAATCCATAAGAAAGTAGTTTAAGCATGAATTTGACGATTAGGGGGCCTAACCAGAACAATTATTCGTTGTTATCTCGTGAAATTTTCAACAAAATTTAATCAAACTCCGCATTAATTAAGCGGAAATACGCATAATTATATTAAAAGGGTGTTAACCATAATTTCTTCCATAAAAGAGGGGTTTAAATGAGCATTTGTATCTTAGGAGTTTAACGAGAAAATTTATACACTGTTATCTCGCGAACTGTTCAGCCAAATTTAATGAAACTCTGCATAATTATTTAATAGTTGTACTCTGTTGTAGTGCCAAGTTTTAGTCCAACAGAGTAAAAGGAAACTCGCAAAAAAAATGGTTTAACCATGATTTTCTTCTCTTAGTGGAACAATCAGAACATTTATCCCTGATATCTCCTCAATTCTTTTATCAAATTTGATGAAGCTCCGCATAATTATTTACCAATTGCACTCTGGCCTAATTCCAAATTTTTATCAAAATTGGTACGAGGTCGTTAATAAAAATGGGGTTTAAGCATGAATTGGGATTCTTAGGGGCTTTATCAGAACATTTGTGCACTGTTATCTCGCGAACTACTCAACCAAATTTAATGAAAGTTAATACAATTATTCATTAATTTTCTTCTGTTGTAATACCACGTTTTGGTCAAAATCGTTAAAAAGAAATGTATAACAAGATGAATAAAACCTAAATTCTTTTTTTGGTGGGAGCTGTTAGAACTTATTCCCTGATATCTAACCAACAGTTCACCTGAATTTGCTGATACTCTGCATAATTATTTTACAATTTTGCCCTCGTATAACACCTGGTTTTTATCATAATCGGTTGAAGGCAATCCTCAGAAAAGAGGTTTAAGTGAACATTTGTCTCTTAGGAGCCTAAACAGAACATTCATTTATTCAATGTTATCTTGCGAACTCTTCAACAAAACTTAATAAAATTTGCATTATTATTTGACAGTTGTAACTGTGTTATAGTGCCAAGGTTTAGTCTAACAGGGTAAAAGGAAATTCGCAAAAAAATGGTTTAACCATGATTTTCTTCTCATAGTGGTTTTTATCATAATCGGTTGAAGGCAATCCTCAGAAAAGAAGTTTAAGCATGAATTTGTCTCTTAGGGTGCTAATCAGAACATTTATTCACTGTTATCTTGCTAACTCTTCAACAATTATTTCACAATCGTACTCTGTTGTCAAGCCAAGTTTTAGTCCAACGGGGTAAAAGGAAATGTATAAAATAGGGGGTTAACCATGAACCTCTTAGTGGAGCAGTCAGAACATTTATTCCCTGATATCTCGTGTATCTTTCAACCGAATTTTATAAAATACTTACTAATTATTTATCAATTGTAGCATGATATAGTCTAGTTTTTAAGAAAATCAATAGAAGGAAATCCATAAAATAGGAGTTTAAGTGGGCACTTGTCTCTTAAGAGTTTAACGAGAACATTTATTCAATGTTATCTCGCGAACTATTGAATCAAATTTAATAAAAGCTAATACAATTATGTACTAATTATATTCTGCTATGATACCAAGTTTTGGTTAGAATCGCTGAAAGGAAATCTATATTAAAAAAATGGTATTTACTTCTTTTAGTGGAGAAGTTAGAATTTATTCCACGATACCTGACCAAAACTCCATCTGAATTTGCTGAAACTCTGCTTAATTATTTTATAATTACGCCCTGGTATAAAACATAGATTTTATCATAATCTGTAGAAGGCTATACATAAAAATGTGGTTTAAGCATGAATTGGGACTCTTAGGGGCTTTATCAGAACATTCATGCACTGTTATCTCGCGAACTACTCAACCAAATTTAATGCAAGTTAATACAATTATTTACTAATTTTATTCTGTTATAATACCTCATTTTGGTCAAAATCGGTGAAAAGAAATGTATAAAAAATTAATAAAACCTGAATTCTTCTTTTAGTAGGAGCTGTTAGAATTAATTCCCTGATATCTAACCAACAGTTCACCAGAATTTTTTGAAACTATGTATATTTATTTTTCAGTTGTAGCCTGGTATAACACCTAGTTTGTATCATAATCGGTTGAAGGTAATCCATAAAAAATGGTTTTAAGAATCAATTTGTCTCTTAGGGGCGTAATAAGAACATGTACTCACTGTTATTTCGTCAACTCTTCCAAATTTAATGAAACTCTGCATAATTATGCAGAAATATGCATAATTATATTAAAAGAGGGTTAACCATGAATTTATGCTCTTAGTGGAGTAATTAGAACGTTTATTCTATGATATATCGTCAATTGTTTTACGGAATTTGATGAAACTCCGCACAATTATTTACCGATTGTATCTTTGTACAATGTCGTTTTTATCAAAATCGTTAAAAAGAAAGGAGTAGAGCATGTAAACTTCCAGCTCTGTTTTGAAGTTGTCAAAGCATACTGTCCGCAGGCCTCATCACTGATCCCTGGGGGAAACCCATGATGTGGCTAACACAGGCTGTACTGTTACACATATGATATTCCTTTCCATGTCCGTCTAAGAATCTGTTCGGAAGTTTTGCCGGCTTTAGCCCTTTGGCTGCTGGCCACCCCATACGATTTGGTCATCGATAGCTTGTATAACTCACTTTGTGTTGTCACTAGTGTACTTATCCCAAGATTGGCAGAAGTGTTGAGGAAGGTAGTGACTATCACCAGCCACCTTAAGCTTAACCATCAAACCCAGAACTGAAGACGGCCCGAAGAAATACAAAAACGGATCGGAAGTTCGGAAACGACCAAAATACAGCAACATACAGACGTAGATATGTTTTATGATCATGACGAGCCTATGATTCAAGACGCGGCATAACCCCCTCGCCGATAAAAAGTGGGTCACCTCGGCGGATGCATCATCGTTTCAAAAACTGGTTCCACACCGGCCAGGGAAAGTGAACGTGGATGGATTTATTTTAAAAACAAGCCGAGGCCAACGAACGCTCCTTTTTTACTTTTTCTCCTTTTGGTGGAGGGGCGCAGGACGCAGGACGTCCCCGGCCAATTAGAAAGCTGGCTAAGCAGCCGGATTAACATAATATCACCAATTATTTGCGTTTTTTAAACTATTTTTGTATGGGAAAAATTGCCAATTGGTTAAAGTTCAAGATTATTATCTTATTTAAAGAGAGGTAAAAAATACGAAGTGATTCCACGTCTCTTCCTTGACTTATCTGAAGGATCCTTGCAGAACTGGTACCGCCCTGGGCAATGCAATCATACTGGCAATACCTTTAAAAAGCAATAAAAAAAAATACAAATCAACAAGAACTTTTCGACCCGGGGAAAATAGGAGGACGCAATAGTTCGAAAATGTTACGAACGACGTCGGTAAACCGCAGGGGGGAATTCGTCTCTTTCTCATTTTTCAATCTCGACCGCAACACTCGAAATAGAGACATTTGTTGGCCAAGATGACGAAGGCCGCCCACACGCGACGGTACGCAGCGAAACAGGGCGGACCGGCAAGTTTTAACATCCGCACAAACCCGCTCGATTTTCAACCTCATATTAACATATTGCACAGGAAGCTATTAATTCGTTTCTTTAGCAATTTTGAATCATTTGTGCATAAAGAAAAGAAATTTCCTGGCCAACAATTAGACCGGGCAGCCACTTCGACCATATTACTGTATGTAGCAATTGCCCTATTTTTCAATGAAAAATACACGGAGGATAATTATCGATTTTTATCGTTCATATATGCATAACAAACACGTAGATTGCAAAGCATAAATTAATTGTTAAAAATTTTCAATATAAAGAAATCGCGGAGAGGCCACATCGTGAAATTTGCCCCTCATTTTAAAAAGATACCCTTTCAAATTATTTCTCCAAATAATTA